ACATCCGGGGCGGGATGGCCCGCGATGGCACCAGATTTCATCTCGCAAAACAGTGCACAATTTAAGACTTATGAATTGTTTATTTCTGGAACTTTCCATTAAATATTTTCGGATCAAAGTTGACCACGGGTAACTGAAACCGCAAAGAGTGAAAGTGTGGTTAAGGGAGGACTACCGTCCTCGGATCACAAGGGGGCGGAGTCACAGGTAAACTTGGGGACTTCCAGCCAGGGTGACCAGAAGTTGTGTGATGCCATCAATAGAACGCGGGAAGTCAGGAAGAGCAACTCCTCAGGACAAAGATGTCAGTTTAGTAAAGATTCAGTCTGAGGGGCTGACAGGACATCCTGCGGGAGATATTGTGCAAGTGGCTGGAAACAAGCTGCTGGGCTTGGAGAGCTGGAGTCCTTGACTGAGAACTCTCCACGCAGGAGTGACAGTACAAACCACTAAGGAAGATGCTGAGGGATAAGGTAGAAGGGGAAAACTGGGAGGGAGGAGAGGACCTTGGAGAGGAGGTGGAAGAGGGACCACCTAGAGGGTATGTGGAGAGTTCAGTGTGATAGAAGCCAAGAGGGGGAAGTTTCAAGGAGCTAATGATCATTCTTATCTGACGGGGGCTGGGGGGAATCAGGAATAAGTTATTATATTTGGGAGAATGAGAAGTGCTTGGTGGGTGATAGTTGGGCAGGAGGTAGAAAAAAGTGAGAAAGCAAGGGGCTAAGTGAATGAATGAGTGATGGGGAAATAGAGACAGATGTCTGCTCTAAAATTTCAGGGGTCTGTTGAAAGCGAGATGGGAAGAGAAAATGACGGGAGAGGAAGTGAACAAAGTGATATTCTTGTCAGGATGGGGTTTGCTGAGCCTGCTTACAGTTAGAAGGAGGAGATTCAATGCTGAAAAAGAACGAGCTCAGGGCAAGTTTATTAAGGCAGGGCAGGAGCGGCACTGTGCAGGAAGGGAAGGGAGAGCTTTTTTTTTTTACTGTGAGACCAGTGACAAGTAAGGATGAGGGACAAAGTTGGGAGATCAGGGTGCAAAGGGAGAGTGTTGACCGAGCTCACACTATTTGCCTTCATTCTCTAGGATGAACAAAGCAGTGCATGACTGGGAGGTCCTCTCCTCAAGTGATTTGGAAATTGCCACGTGCGAGCCAGGGCAGGAAAACAGTTTCCAGTCCCACTTCTGGATCCAGTATCTACATGACCCAGTGTTCCTGTATACAACCAGGAAAGCACTATTTGTCATTCAGCTATCAAGGCAGTAAATGCTACCTGGCCCATTCCAAGAGCTGTTTTCTTAATAGACACAACTCTGTATACCACATCTGAATACACCTGATTCGGGAATTAGCCTTTATCCCCTCTCCATATTATAAAAAATATACATATACATACACATGCGATTCTTCCTATCTAGATGTCTTGTTCGATAGTCTTTATGGACTTCGATATGGATCTAAATCCATTACCCTCCTGCTTGAGACCTTCCCCAGCCCCCAGAGACCTCAGATCTTTGGGAGTCTGCCTTGCTAGGCAGCTCAGTTGACCAGGAAGTGTGTCTTACACCTGCTGGAGCCATTTTTCCTTTCCCCTGAGGCGCCCTGCCCAGTGTTGGGTTTAGAGTGCCATCCAAAACACAAATAGACAACCAAACATAAACCAAGCTCATTAAAGAAAATAGGGAAACTTCTTCCTAGAAGGACAGCTCTGGTTTGTACGCTAAAACAGAAAGAGGACCCCCTAACCCTCCCTCACAGGCCACCAGGATGACAACGCACTTGGGTTTCTACAACAGCCCCCTAACTCCCTACCTTCCTCTCTCTACATTCTGGTCTCAACATACTATCTAAACTGCAAATCTGACCACGCACTACAGTACTAAAAACCTTCCTAAACCCCCTGGAAACTCAGTGGAAATCCTTAGCATCGAGTACAAGCCCTTCAAGGTTTGGCCCCTAGAGCTTCTCTAAATTCATCTCCCTGAATTTTACCCTCAGTCTTCAGTCATTTGGAAGAGCTCTTGTCCACTTGAGGCCTTTGCATATGATCCCTTCACTCAAAGCGCTTTCTCCACCACCTCCCCCCTCCCTGCTTTCACCAAAGCCAACTCCTCTCTATCCTGTCTTTCTGGAATTAACTGTCCCTAGAAGTTCTCCTAAGGACTGAACCTGGGGTTTAGCCTCCATTGAAAGGAATCACTTTATATGTTAATTATGTGCTCACTACTTGGTTATCCCTGCTGGAATGAATGTGTGTTGACAAGGAACGGGACCATTCTATTTTATTTGCCTCAGTACCTAGCAAATGCCTGGCAGAGTATGTTGCTGAATGTTTATTGAATAAATAACTGATTGAATGAAGAAATGAAGGCTTTCTCTTTTGGATTCTTAGGTATTTCTGAACCTCATCAAATGTTTGAACTTCTAAGCAAAGCAACCAGGCTTGAACGCAAAGGGAGTTATTCTCTCTTCTTATCTGACCTTGGTAGCTTGAAGAGAAGCCAAAATGTGTGACACATTCCCCCCAAATCCATACTGTGGGCAGTGACTGGACCATGCAGGCTGAGGAACAATGACCACAATGACTACCCATGGACAATAGGAGCAACTATGCCAGGGACTGTACAAGGGACCGCCTTGCACAGGGACAGGGCAGGGCTGGGGCAAAAGGACACTCCCTCAGCTTCAGGGTCCCAGCTCAGGGAGAAGCCCAGGGGAAGGGCGTGTTTCCTACAGAGTCAGTTTGCTAACCCTGTTCTTCCTTCTCTGACCAGGAGACTCTGGGGTGCAGTGCAAGAGATGCCCAAGTAGAGGTCAGAGGAACGGGAGCAGAGAGGAGAGGTAACTTATTCCTCCAAGTCCGTTCATTCATCCAATGTTGACTGAGTAGCTCCTCTATGCCAGGCACAGTGCCAGGCCCTGGGGATACAATGTGAATAAACACCAGCTATCTTTCCTCCCTTCATGCAGCTTTCTGTCCAGAGGCGTGGCTGGCATTACTCAATCACGTAAATAAATTGAATGTGCATTTTTAAATTACTTCAAAATATTAGGTTCCAGTTTTGAGTGTGTAAAATAAGGGGATCTGGCCTAGTCAGGGAAGGTATGGAAGGCTTCCTCGAGAAAGTCACCAATGAATTAAGGGCTGAAGGACGGATAGGAGTACATTAGATAAGGATGTAGGTGGAATTCAGGAGTGTTAGAAGAGCAAAAAAGCATTCCAGGGAGAGGAAACCGCATGAACAGCCTTCCCATCTTCATTAAGTTCGAGAACCACTTCAACTAAGTTCAGTTCTACAGTTCCCACCTTCTTCTTTTCAACCCCGTATCTATATTTTATTTAAAGGAAAAGGAAGCTGTGGAGTGGCCTTGTACGTGCAGACTGCAGACAGGAATTGCAGATTGCAGGGACGGGTTGGTGGGCCACACCTGGTCACCCCCAGCTCTGACACTCAACCATCCTCACGTGGAGAGCTGCAAGGCATGAAGGGGCAGGTTCCTCTCAAACTTGGATCCAGTGAGGCCGGCAAGAAGGGCTGGCAGGTGCACAGGCGCCCAGACAGAGTGAGCTGATCACCTCTGTCAGGGAGAACAGGGCGCAGCAGCTATATTTGAAAATCGAGGTAAACAAGAGCTCAGCTCAAGTGGACAGGGCACAACAGCTGCGGAGATTAATCACACACGGCTGCGAGGCACCAGGTCGCCCCAAGGCCCAGAGGCTTCCCCTTCGCGAACCACCAGGAGGCCGGATGTGCTCCTATCACTTACCCACAACTCCCTCCGCTTGGGGTGTTTCTCCACCACCTAAGAGCTTGGAACCTTGCTCCCAGCTGCGGCCTGCCTTTCTGCTAAACTAGCCCCAGTTTCAGTCTTTCTGCCCAGGGGACCGAACCACCAAACCTTCTGGGTTTGTCTTTTAATCACCAGGAGACAGAGAGCCAGAGGGTGAGAGACAGGCGGCAGGCAGGCGGGTAGGGAGCGGGGAAATTTATGGCACTCCATTAAAGGCGTCTGTTCTATTTAAAGCCCCCACCCCCTCCCTCCACGGTTAAAAATAAAACGCATTGAATAAAGAGGAAAGATAGCTTCCCCCACCCCCGGAACAAATTGCTTTATTCATCTCCTGCAATGGGTCGGGTCCTCGGGGCAGGTCAGGCACCGTCTGTAGGAGCAGGCTAGCCTCTGAATGAGGGCCTGTGGCTGTGTGCGTGCGTGCGTGCGTGTGCGTGTGTGTGTGTGGTGGTGAGGGGTGTGTAGGCGGGGAGACGGGGGTACAGGTTAGCGAGAGGTAGTTACACACTTCACCGCTCTCCACCCGGCCCCGGCCCGCCCAGACCACCGCGTACCAGAGAACAGAGGCCGGGAGAAACCCTCCTTCTCCCCGCCCCCTTGGCCGCCGCGGGCGGGTGCGCTGGGGCTGCAGTTCCCGACCTGCGGCGGTGGAGTCCAGAGGTTGGGTGCGCGCGTGCGTTTCCACCCGCGGGCGCGCGCCGAGCAGGTAACGCGCTCCCCTCCTGGCCCACAAACCCGGCGGGCGCTCACCACCCCGGGAGCACAGCACGCCCTGGCGCAGCCCGCACACACACATGCACACATTCACACATTCATCCAGCATGCAGCACAGCACTCAGCCTCCCTGACGCGCCCCCGCCGGTAACCCCACAAACCCGCGACCCGACTGCACGCACAAGCCCAAGCATCTCTTTCTGCGCTGCCCCCCGCACCCCCCGGTAGACGCTCACCCCCCCAGAACCCCCCCCCCCCCCGCCCCCAGCACCGCAGGCAGCCCAGTGCACTTTCCGGGGCACCCTCCCCCCACCTCTTCTGACACTCAACCCGCAGGAGGGCAGTTCATAGGAATGATCTTGAGAAAGAACTTAACACCATTATTCACAAGCAGGAACCCTCACGGGGATATCCCCAACCCCCCGACTTCTGCCTCCCCGGCCTCGGCCGCCCGTTGAGGGGGAAGGGCAGGAGGCTCACCCCGTCACTCACCGTTTCCTCTCGATCTCCCGGGCGGGGTGGGCAAGTGAGGGGGTTGAGGAAGGTGCGCGATGACCCCGCCGCCGGGCTCCTCACCGGCCGCAGCGGCTCATCGCCCCCGCGGGCTGCCCGCCGGCCGCAGCCGCGTCCGGGGCATGTCAGTCTGCCGCCGCCGCCCACCGGCCGGGCTCGTGGGCTAGCGGCTTTCAGGGAGCTGCGGGGCAGCGCATCCGGAGTGCGAGGGCTGGGGCGAGAGCAGGGGGCCTGGGGAGAGGTCCCTCGGCGCTGTTTTAAGGGGATGGGAGAACCGCTCCGAAGACCCCCCCGGAAAACCCCGACTCGGGGGCGGACCCGGGACTAATCCCCGAAGAGGCCCGGAGTCCCGGCCGCAGGCAGCGAGGGGATCCCTGCCGGGAGGGGCAAGAAGGCGAGCGGCCCGGCGCGCCCTGGCGGCTCCGAGGGCCCAGGGCTTGCAGTCGCGTCGCCGGGGCTTTCCCGGGGCTGGGAGCGCGCTGGCTCACCGCCTTGCACGCCGTCACCGCGGGACTCGTCTCGGCCTCGTCGCGCGGAGGGGACGCGCGAAGGGTCTGGTTTCTGGGCGAGCCGAGAGCTTTGCCCATTAAGCTGCGGGAAGAAGCCAAATCAAAAAGCCAATCTCCAAGCCTCCAAACCCAACGTCACCCTATCAGCTGGGAGCGAGAGAGCTGCACGGAATCACAAGCCGCGCATATTTATCCTCGCGCGCCGATGGGGGTAATTTTCAGAGAGCTTCCCGACCAGCAGCGAGGAAGCCGAGTCCGCCTCTCGCGTCCAGAGAGCCCCAAGGACCGAGTGCAGACGGAACCCGTAGCCTGCGGCCACCCACCCAATCTTTGGAGCCTGGCGCCCGGCGCCTACCGGCCAGGGACAGTTCCAGGACGGCGGCGCGTCCTGACCTGGATTCCGTGGAGTCCAGAGTTCCGGGCAGCGGCGGGGAGGGCGGGCAGGCGGGCGCGCAGCACCGGCTTTCCCCTTGTCCTCAGGAGACGCCGCCTGCAATCCCGAAATTAAGTCTCTACCAAACACATCTGTGGTTTTTAAATATAGCAGGGGACGATTACCCAGGCAGGGTCCACCCAGGCCTAGGGGAGGAGTTGAGGGGGTATAGAGGGTGGCAGTGGAGGGGAAATAGAACTCCCCTTTTCCCCTTTTTTTGTTTTTCATCTGTACTTGGTGCAGAACTCAGTCTGTCATTTTCTCAACCCAAATCAAACAACAGCTGTGACAGACGCTCGGGTGAGCGCTGGTATGTTGGTTTTTGGGCTTTTAAAGCTAAAAATAAGAGGGGGCTGTCTCCCAAATTGCTGATTCCTCTGGGCCTGGAGTCTGGAAGAGAGATGGTCCTTTGATGCAGCAACAGAACTAGGGTTTGGGGCTTGGCCCACGCAAAGTGTACACACGTAGCCTTAAATCAGATGCCTATAATTTCTGCTATATTTGTCAGGCTTGGTCCTGGAGGCATGCGGGGTGGGCAGGCCTCTCCTAAGAATGGGGTTTCACATCCCTAGTGTATGGATGGCATTAGGCAGATCTAAAATAAGCATGGTGGCTGGCCTTTTGTAGAGACACTAGTGCAGATGCTGGGACAGAACATACGGGAGGGAAGTTGTTGCTCTCAGGCCTTTGCTGCCTGAAGCCGAATATGATGGGCCAACAAGTGAGGATAATATACTTAGCAAGTGTCAGCACCTCCTTAGGGCCAGGCGCCCTGCTAATGGAGTTGACTGCCGAATTTCATGTCATCCTCACAAAACTCTATGAGATAGGTACAGTTACAAACTCCATTTTCTCTTGAGGAAATTGAGCCTCAGAGAGGTTAAATAACCATCCCAAGGCCACAAGCAGCAGAACCAAGGATTGGAATAAGGTGGAATCAACTGGAGTTTCACTGATAACTGCAACAGTATGTGCAAATTCCCAGATCCTTGGCTCTCCTGAGAACTGCTCTGGAACAAGGTTTGGTCCAAAGAGATTAAGTGGGCATAGGAGTTAGAGAGTGTCTGAGTTCGGAATGGTGTGTAAGTTCTTTCCTGGTCCCTTGAACAATGCTATCAGCATTGTCCTGGAACTGTCCCTGGCCGGTAGGCGCCGGGCGCTATGCTATCAGCTATCAGCAAATCACGTGGTGGTTTCAGTGCTGAGTTTGAGTCCTGGATATCCTCAGTCCTAACTGAGCCCTGTGATCTCAGATCCCTGAGCATTTTGGGGCCTTGAATCCAGTTAAGGGCTGAGACACTGACTCTGTAAGACTTCAATAACTCCTAAGATTGTGGGATTTCAGCTTATGTCAATTGGTGGGATTTACCTCGTGTCTGTTTCTGTGGAGACCCATGATGCTGACAGGTCTATAGTCAAGACCAAGAGGTGGCTGGTGGGCCCATAAATTGATATGGCTTTTAGGGAGGGCAGTTTTGAAAGACATATCAAATTCCTAAAAAAATGTGAACCTCTTTTGCCTCAGTAATTTTACTGGTAAAAATTTATGCTGTGGCAATAATTAAGGATGTGCTCAGATATTAGTTACAAGGATATTCATGGTAGTGAAATTTATAAGAGTAAAAAATTGGAAGCATCTTAATTTTCCAACAGGGAGAACTGGTTGAGTAGATCATGTTACATTGTCATAATGGTGTATTCTACCACCATGAAAATGCTGAAGCAGTATTTTGTGCACTGACGTGCAAAGATTTTCATGATATGTTATTGAGAGAGAAAATAAAACAGAGCATAGAGTGTGATACTGTGTGTGTGTGTGTGTGTGTGTGTGTGTGTGCGCGTGCATATGCACGCCCTGGCAGCAGAAACATACCAAAATGGTAATGATGGTTATCTTTGGATGGTGAGATTACTGGTGATTTCTTTTTCTCTTTAAATCAACTTTACGAGGCATAATTACATAAAATAAAATTCACCTGTTTTAAATATACAGGTTGATGAGTTTTGACAAAAGTACGTACAAATATAACAACAACCCAAATCAAGGTACAGAACATTTTCATCTCTCCCCAAAGTTCTCGGGCCCCTTGGCAGTTTTCCCCCACCTCCCCTCAAGTAACCATTGATCTGCTTTCTGTCAATATAGATTCGTTTTTGCTTGTTCTAGAATTTTCTTCTTTTTGCCATTTATATCTGTTGACATTTCTTCAATGAACATCACCCATTCACTAAAACAACACCAGAAACAATAAAAATAGAATTGGTCTTGTCATTTTTTTTAGAACTATCCCCAAACCAACAGGAGCTTCATCACCTTGTCACCTGGAGCAGGGCACTGCTGGGTAGGAAGGGGGGAGGTGAGGGAGGTGCCGAAGCACGTTCAACCATTGCTATAGGCAGAGTGACATGTGTGGGTTCTCTGAGTTCTAGGTAGACTGAAATAACAAAACCCAAATCTGCATTCTGAGCCTCCATGCCCTCGCCGGTAAAATGGAAGTAATATTAATAACAATAATATTCTTCTCATGGGATTTTTGAGGATTCAGTGAGATCACAGTTTCTGGTATAGAGTAAAGCTTAATTCTCTTTCTTTCTCCCTCCAGCCCTGCTTCTCTCCCGCTGTAAGTTCTGCAACCAAATTTCTCCTTTAACACTGGACAGAGTTTCACTTTTTTTCTCTCTCTCTACTACATGCATACTGGGTTGGAAAAGGGTAAATTTGATGACAACCTGCCTTTAATTTCTGCCATTGTTTCTTCCTTTATTTCTGGTTGTGCTAGAACTCAAGGGGCTTTTCACAGGAAAAACAGCAGGTCAGTGATCTATTGTCAGTATTAGCAGCAAGAGCCACAGATTTTATTTTCAAGTTGGGAGGAAACTAAGGCTCAAAGAAGTGAGGGGATTCGACCCAATCACAGAGCTCAGCAAGGAATAGATAGCATCTGCTCTGGGGGGGATGGTGTTCCCCGCCCCCAAAGGCATATGTTGAGGTGGTGACCTCTAGGACCTCACAATGTGACTGCAAAGAGGTAATTAGGTTAAAATGGGGTCATTAGGGTGGGCCTTAGTGGAATCACTGGTATCCTTATAAGAAGAGGACAAAGACAGACAGAGGGAAGACCACACGAAGGCACAGCAAGAAGGCTGCCATCTGCAAGCTCAGGAGAGAGGCTTCACAAGAAACCAAACTTGCTGACCAGACTCCAGACTGTAAGAAAATAAATTTCTTTTGTCTAAGCCACCCAGCCTGTGGTATTTTGTTATGGCAGCCCAAGCAAACTAATACAGAATCCAAGTATTCTGGCTGATTCTATGAGTCCTTGTTATATTCCAACTTCGAGGAGTCACCTGGGGTCATTTGGGACCTTGAAACATCCTGGATTTTACAATTTAACAAAAAGGAAGCAAGGAAACCAGCTTTTATTTAAATACCTGCTATGACACTGTGCTATGCATTTTTATATGTATTATTTCACTCAGTAAAACTTGTGGAACACCTTCTATGTACCAGATACTATTCTAAGGGCTGGGCATACAGCTGTGAGCAATGAAGACAAAAGTCCCTGCTCTCATGGAACCTACATTCTAAAGGAAGAGATAGATGATAAAAATAAAAATAAAAAAAGGGAAAAAATACATAGAGCATGTCAAATGGTAGGTGCTGTGGGAGAAAAATATAGCAAGGGAGGGGGTAAGGGGCATAGGGACTGCTGAGAGAGGGAGGGAAATTGCTAGACTCTTTAACTGAAGAGAGTCCTGGAAGCTTCACTGAGAAAGTGACAGTTGAGTAAGAACCTGAAGGCAGTGGGAGAGGAAGCCATGCTGATGCCTGAGGGAAGAAGGTTCCAAAACGGCAGACGCCGAAGCTGTGAATGAAGTAGGAGTGTATCAGACTTGTTCGGGGAAAGTTACTTTATTTAGACCTCAACTCCACCTTGAGAGATGTATACTGTCCCTTTATCTAGGGAAGAAGAAATCTCAGACAGGTGAACTGACTCCCCTCAAGGTCACATACACAAAGCAAGTACTGCCCTTCTTTCTCCAGAGGCTGGCAACACGATAGGGCAGAAGGGATGAATAGTAAGAAGGGGACATGTGGCTTCTCAGTAATGCCCCATCCTTTACCATTATGCCCCAGGACTCCACAAGTCGGGGCCTCTTGGTGCCTCTCCAAACATGGGGCCTCAGGTACTTCACAAGGAGCAGCCCTGCCTGCCTTGGCTGCCATTAGCTCTCCATCACACAAGCCATAGCGCTGTTGTCACAGGCCCCGCTGTTGTCACAGTACCCCGCTGGTACCCAGGTACCAGCATTCCACGGCCCTAGGATTGTACAGTCTAGGAGAGTCAGAAGTAGACAACCAAGTTGAAGTTTCAAATAAGTTCTGGAGCAGCCCTGTAGGGGAGATAAAAGTTTAATAAGCAATAGTTGATAATGGGGTAGTATAGTAATAATAAACTCCTTCCTATAGTCATAATTCTCCCCCATGGGTTATGTAATTTTTAACCTTCTTATAACTTGTATTTCCAAAATTTGTCACAATTTTTTTCCTTGAATAATTTAAAAAAATTTTTTGAGGTACAGTCGATTTACAATGTGTTAATTCTGCTGTACAGCAAAGCAACTCAGTTATACATGTACATTCTTTTTCCTATTCTTTTCCATTACGGTTTATCACAGGATATTGAATATAGTTCCCTGTGCTGTACAGTAGGAGCTTGCTGTTTATCCATCCTATATATACTAATTTGCATCTGCTAATCCCAAGCTCCCAATCCTTCCCTTCCCCACTCCCCTTCCCCCTTGGCAACCACAAGGGGGTTGTCTGTGAGTCTGTTTCGTCAATATGTTCATTTGTGTTGTATTTTAGATTCCACATGTACATGCTATCATATGAAATTGTCTTTTTCTTTCTGACTTATTTCGCTTAGTATGATAATCTCTAGGTCCATCCATATTGCTGCAAATGGCATTATTTCATTCTTTTTTATGGCTGAGTAATATTCCATTGTATATATATATGCCACATCTTCTTTATCCATTCATCTGTTGATGGACATTTAGGTTGCTTCCATGTCTTGGCT